TCCCCTGCCACTTCCCCAAAGCAGCTTGCAGGGCTCAGGCTGGTACCCATGCTACGCACATGGTACACTGTCTGGAGTGAGCGGAATGGCGTGGGGCACTTGTGACCCCTCACTAGGACAGGACAGTGCCCCTTCCCCATCCCAGCAGTGCTGCCAGACCAGCTACAAGCTCTCTGCTTGTCCAGTTTGCCCAAGCTGTTGAGCTAGCTCCATACTCACAAGCCCTGGTGTGGCTGAATCATTCCAAGTGGCAGGCAAAGGACTTCAGCACTTAATCTGTATTATGATGGAAGTCTCCTTTCAGTACTCAGACCCCTGGGGCTGTTATTCTTATAACCACAGTTATTTTTAGTTGCTATTTTTCTTTTCTTTGTGAGACTGACTCTACTGCTGCAGCATTGCAGGGCTGGGCCTGTAACTAGTGTCTCAGTTGTGGCCCTTGGAAGGGCCCTTCCCAGCTGCTGTTGGATGGGGCCAGCTCAGAGCAGCTGGGCTGGCGTTTCCCACACCAACTCCTCTCCTCCCTGCTACAGCCTGAGCTCTCTGGTACGAGCGCGTTCCTGAAGCAGGCCCCTGAGGCTGTTCTGCTGGCCCTGTCTGAACTGCACGGATAGCACAGACTGTGCTCTTTTAATTACCATTAAAAGTTACAGAATTGTCTTGTATTTGGCTTTAAAAGCATAACAAAACAAAAAGACGACAGGTAAACTTTAATGTTAACAAATGCAAATTAAGCGGAAGAATCTGAAATATGGATACATACTCTCTTAAGTTCTTAGTCAACAGTTAATGACTATGTTGACAAGGTAAGTTTATGGATTGCAACATGTGACTAGGCAAAGGCACTTCAGACCAAGCATGGGTAATGAGACCTCAAATGGTCATGCTTGAAATGAAACACAAAAGGCAAGGGACCCTGGGTGAAAAGGGAGTTAAGTGCATGTAACATTTCCTCCTGGTTTATTCTGTAGAGTTACTGCACAGTATTTTCAGTTGGCTATTAGCAAAAAGAATACATGCATATCTGTGTAAGAAAATACAATTGTACTGAGCATTGGAGACTTGGGACCTGTTCCTTCTAACAGGACTAATTTCTGGATAGTAAAAACATAGAGAATGTGGAGATGGAAGAGACAACTGAGTTTTAAAGAACTGATATTTAGAAACAGAAGTGTAGCCCAATGGTAGGTAAAAGCAATATTTAAGAATCATGAAAAAATATTTTGAAGAGGAATTTAAAAGTACACACTACTATCAATAGAGCAGCATCCAGAGGAAAAAGTGTGTGTGTGTATATATATATATAAAATCATATTAGGACCTTATCTAATTGCTGCTGCTGACCCCATCTAGTAATACAATAATAAATGTAATTTAAATAATTAAGATAATATAACTTTTAAAAACTCAGAATGAACTACAGATAGCCTTCTGGAACTCATTTCTACAGAACATTGCTGAATTCAAGCACTTAAGATCAGACACTTAGAGAGCCATTGAGAACGCCAGTAGTTATATTGGGCAGGACAAAACTGTTTTCTGCAGAATCAGAAAACCTGCTTCAGAAACATATTTATATTAAGTAACACCATTAAATGTTTTCATTTTAGTAGTATCTCTGCAGGAGAGAACATTTTAAATGCCTGCTTGAAGTAACAGTAACATAACCAATGGTTGGGGTTAATTTTATCCTGGTTGAGGTTAATTTTATCCAGAGCGGTCTCATAAGATTCGTTGGTTTCCCCATTTTAAGTAGAACATGCTAAAATGAAAAAAAACCCCAAACATTCCTTTTTAACTCTTCATTCAGATCATTGTAGACTGGATTAAGGGGTGTACGTGTGTGGGTTTTTTACCTGTTGCTTTCTGGCACAACCTTTCTTTACAGATGCTTCCGTGTTGCATTCCTTGACTGAGGAAGTCAGTTTTGAGGTCAGTGTTTCACATGTCAGATACTCCTTTCCTGTAATTGTCTTAAAGTATAGAAGTTTATACCTTCATTAGCAAAAAACCCCACAGTATTTTTCTACTTGTTAAAATGACCTACTTTTTCAAAAGGTGTCCTCATAACACAAAGTTGAAATAACCTACCAAATTACATTTTATGGGTGAAAAAAGTGATAAGCACAACATAGTTCATCCATGTGCCCAATCTGGGATATCATCCTCATAAAAACTGCACTGAAATGAGCTCATCTATTTATTTTATTGAAATGCAGACAGAATCATACAAAAATTAGGTTGTAAAGTACCTCCAGTGGTCATCTAATCATAACTTTTACTCAAAACAGAGCTAACTTCAAAGTTAGATCTCATTGTTTTGGGCCTCTTCCAGTCAAGTTGGGAGACTCTAAAAGGATAACAACTCTACAACCTGTCTGTTCAATTTGTTCCGGTACTTAACCACTCTCACTCTGAAGAGTGTTTTTTTTTCCTATGTCCAGTAGAAATTTTTCCTGTTGCAACTTGTGCTTTTAGTGAAATTGTAATTAAACTTGTCTTTGCATAATTTCCATGTTTGCCTAACAGCAAACACACACTGCAGTTAGTATTACACAATTGATGAGGTTTGAGATTCCTTCCAGGAGCTGTTCATTAATACGGTTTAATCTGAAGATAGACTGAACACCAAAAATTTCACCATGTTAACCTCACACAAATTTTGATAAACTGATAAACTGTCTTAAAGAAAGGAAAACTAATTATACCACCTTAAAAGTCCCAAATAAAAAAAGTGCGTATCTCAGACAATACAGTAAATCATCTTCCCTTTCAGAAAAAAAAGCAGCAGTGACTGAAAACATTAACTTATACGGTAGAAATTTTAGAAAACTATATTGAGAATGATGGTAAAACATGATAAAAGTCATGCTCTTTATTGCTTAAAGCTGTTTTAGAATATACTGAATCTGTGAGAACCAGTGAGAATGAGACCTGTTATTTACTGTACCTGTTCAAAGTTAGACTTGGAATGATGACTGGTTTTCTTAGCAATATAGTCCTTAGAATGACATGCTGCTTTATTTCCTTCATTTTTGGCGATGCACGCTGTATCATTTAAGACAGATTCATGAATATTTAACCCTGCTCCTTCATTTGATCTGTTTGTTTGTTGCTGTGATAAACTGGATTTTGTCATTTCATTGTCTAATTTACAAATCTGCAAATGTACTTTCTCTGACTGATGGTGTTTCTCAAGAACTTGCATGGTATTTTGACTTGCAAACTTTTTTCCCCTTCTTGCACTGGAAATAGGAGATGCATATGTATTCAGACCCAGATTGATGTTTGACTTCTGAAGCACTGACCCAACATTCTTAAGAAATGAAGGAGAATTTGCCTTTTTGTGATTGACTTCACTTGAATTCCCACCTGAAGCTGAGTTATTCGAAAAATCAGCATTAGTTATCTGTCCACCAGACTCTGTTCCCCATTGAAATACAGGTATACCATGTTTTGCATATGTTTTTGCGTTCATTACCTGAAGTATGCTGCTATGAGTAGGATATTTGACTGGCGTATTTTGAACAGGTTTGTAAACTTGAGTCATTCTGGACTTACACATAGTCAGCATAGAAGATGAAACACCCATAATTTTTATTGGTGAACGTCTTTCAGCATTTTCTCTTTTCTTCCCATCCATTTGATTTGTAGTCTTTCCATTCATTTGCATCAACTTTCCTTTGAAAATTGGTATAATTTTGCTGACTTTTTTGTGTGGGAGTTCAAAAGCTGAATTTACAGGCATTCCCAACGATTTCACAACTGGTAACTCTGGTACTCCTGGTATTTGCCTATTACTCATTGATTTCTCTGTTGCTTCAATGTTAACCTTCTCTGTACCCTTACAGATACTCAAAAAAGTGTGTGATTCTGGCTTTTTGATCAAACGCTCCATCCAGTGGCTGTTTTCCATACTGCATGGTGAAGAAATTCTAGGCAAACTCTGTTTTCTTGGAGGAGCCTCCATTAGAGATACTCCACAAACCATCATCTCACCAGTCAATTTCATATGCTTAGATTTTATCTCCTGCAATACAATAGTTGCTAAATCGAATGAACTGGATTTAAAAACTGATAGTGCCACCTAATGCATCACTATAGAATATCTATCTAATATATATCACAATATACAACCATACATTTTCCTGTTTTGAATAAGAATAAACTGTATTTTCAAACAATATTTTGCTGTCACTATAAATTAAGATATTTTTTTTCTCCTCCCCTCAGTTCTTTGTTTATAAACTCTGCTGGAATATCATATTTCTCAGAAGGAAAGACTTAAATTACAGTCATTATCTTGCTTTAGTGCTTTCCAACTGGGTAATGCCTACCCCTTCTGAGGGAGTCTGCAGAGATTTTGACTGACAGAGCTCCTCGTCTCTTAAGACTTCTAAGGGCATCTGTATTCTGAGCAAAAGACAGTTTGGATGTCTATGAAAACTGCTGATGACAAAGAGGAGCCATTCTAGCTTTGATCACTGAAGAGACATAAACAGGAACTGTGTTCTGAAAGAGGATTACAGTATTTTAGAATCTCTACAGTTTCTGTCACTATTCTTTGTTCAGAATTAATTACTTCATTTCTTCTTTCAAACACTACTACCAAAGAAATTTGGGTCTCAGTCTTTGTCACAACCTCAAATTAAAGTAGTTTTGATTGCTTGCATCCTTTCCATCACCAGCCATGGAGTAAATCTTACAGCTTGAGTGTTTTTAAATGCCTAAGACCACAGAACTTTATATTTGTCTTGGTTTGGTTTTTTTTAAAAATAAATTGTAGTCATAATAATAATAATAATTATTA